GACCTTCGCAGGAGCTCCCCTATGCGGCCACGAAACGCTGTACGGGGGGGGGGACGCATGCGAGTTCCACCATTGGGACATTCGATGGAGCTCCCCATGAGGGGCACGAAACGCTGTACTGGGCGGGGGGGACGCATGCGAGCTCCGCCACTGAGACCTCCGGTGGAGCTTGGGGCCACGAAGCGCTGTACAAGGCGGCGGGAGCCATGCGAATTCCGCCACTGGGACCTTCGGTGGAGCTCCCCATGGGGCCACGACACGCTGTACTGGTAGGGGGGGACGCATGCGAGTTCCGCCACTGGGACCTTCGGTGGAGCTCGGGGCCACGAAACGCTGCACTGCGTGGGCGGGACGAATGCGAGTTCCGCCACTGGGACCTTCGGTGGAGCCCCCGTATGGGGCCACGAAGCGCTGTACTACGAGGGGGAGGCGCATGCGAGCTCGGCCACTGAGACCTTTGAAAAAAACTCCATATGTGCCCACGAAGCGCTGCACTGCGTGGGCGGGTCGCATGCAAGCTCCGCCACTGCGACCTTCGGTGGAGCTCCCCATGGGGCCACAAAGCGCTGCACTGCGCGGAGGGGACGCATGCGAGCTCCGCACTGCGGCCTTCGGTGGAGCTCCCTATGGGGCCACGAAGCGCTGTACTGCGTGGGGCAAACGCATGCGAGCTCCGCCACTGCGGCCTTCGGTGGACCTCCCTATGGGTGGGGGACGCATGCGAGCTCCGCCACTGAGACCTTCGCTGGAACTCCCCACGAAACGGTGCACTGGGCGGGAGGGACGCATGCGAGCTCCGCCACTGAGATCGTCGGTGGAGCTCCCCATGGGGCCACGAAACGTTGCACTGGGCGTGGTGAAGACGCATCCGGGCTCCGCCACTGAGACCTTCGGTGGAGCTTCCTATGGGGCCACGTCACGAAACGCTGTACTGGGCGGGGGATACGCATGCGAGTTCCGCCACTGGGACCTTCGATGGAGCTTCCCATGGGGCCACGAAGCGCTGTACTGGGCGGGGGGGGCGCATGCGAGCTCCGCCACTGAGACCTTCGCTGGAGCTCCCCACGAAACGGTGCACTGGGCGGGAGGGACGCATGCGAGCTCCGCCACTGAGACCGTCGGTGGAGCTCCCCATGGGGCCACGACACGCTGTACTGGGCGTGGTGAAGACGCATGCGAGCTCCGCCACTGAGACCTTCGCTGGAGCTCCCCACGAAACGGTGCACTGGGCGGGAGGGACGCATGCGAGCTCCGCCACTGAGACCGTCGGTGGAGCTCCCCATGGGGCCACGAAACGTTGTACTGGGCGTGGTGAAGACGCATCCGAGCTCCGCCACTGGGACCTTCGGTGGAGCTTCCTATGGGGCCACGTCACGAAACGGTGCACTGGGCGGGAGGGACGCATGCGAGCTCGGCCACTGAGACCGTCGGTGGAGCTCCCCATGGGGCCACGAAGCGTTGTACTGGGCGTGGTGAAGACGCATCCGAGCTCCGCCACTGGACCTTCGGTGGAGCTTCCTATGGGGCCACGTCACGAAACGCTGTACTGGGCGGGGGATACGCATGCGAGTTCCGCCACTGGGACCTTCGATGGAGCTTCCCATGGGGCCACGAAACGCTGTACTGGGTGGGGGGGGGCGCATGCGAGCTCCGCCACTGGGACCTTCCCTTCGGTGGAACTCCCCATGGGGCCACGAAGAGCTGTACTGGGCGGGGGAAACGCATGCGAGCTCCGCCACTGGGACCTTCGGTTGAGCTTCCTATGGGGCCACGTCACGAAACGCTGTACCAGGTGGGGGAAACGCATGCGAGTTCCGCCACTGGGACCTTCGGTGGAGCTTCCTATGGGGCCACGAAACGCTGTACTGGGCGGGGGGGGCGCATGCGAGCTCCGCCACTGGGACCTTCGGTGGAGCTTCCTATGGGGCCACGAAGCGCTGTACTGGGCGGGGGGGGGGGCGCATGCCAGCTCCGCCACTGGGACCTTCGGTGGAGCTTCCTATGGGGCCACGAAGCGCTGTACTGGGTGTGGGGAAGCATGCAAGTTCTGCCACTGTGCCCTTCGGTGGAGTTCCCTATGGGGCCACGACATGTACTGTGAGGGGGGGACGCATGCGAGCTCAGTCACTGGGACCTTCTGTGGATCTCCCTGTGCGGTCACGAAGCGGTGTATTGGGTGGAGGAGGACGCATACGAGCTCCACCGCTGCGACCTTCGCTGGAGCTCCCTATGGGACCACGAAGCGCTGTACCGGGTGGGGAAGGGGAGAGCGCATGCGAGCTCCGCCACTAAACCATCGCTGAAGCTCCCTATGGGACCACGAAACGCCACACTGCGCGGGGCAGACGCATGCGAGTTTCGCCACTGAGACCTTCGGTGGACCTCCCTATGGCGCCACGAAGCGCTGCACTGGTTGGGGGGGGACGCATGCGAGCTCCGCCGCTGGGACCTTCGGAGGAGCTCCCCATGCGGCCACGAAACGCTGCACTGGGCGGGGGGGACGCATGCGAGCTCCGCCACTGAGACCTTCGCTGGAGCTCCCCACGAAACGGTGCACTGGGCGGGAGGGACGCATGCGAGCTCCGCCACTGAGACCGTCGGTGGAGCTCCCCATGGGGCCACGAAACGTTGTACTGGGCGTGGTGAAGACGCATGCGAGCTCCGCCACTGGGACCTTCGGTGGAGCTTCCTATGGGGCCACGTCACGAAACGCTGTACTGGGCGGGGGGGACGCATGCGAGCTCCGCCACTGGGACCTTCGGTGGAGATTCCCATGGGGCCACGAAGCGCTGTACTGGGTGTGCCGGAACAGAGACATGCGGATGGCAGAGGCCGGGCGGGAGGAAGGGGGCAGCGGGAGGAGGAGGAGAAGAATTTGGAGGAAGAGGGGGAGGAAGAGGCGGGGGAGGAGGAAGAGGAGGAACGTAAGGAGAGCGGGGAAGAAGGGGGCAGCGGGAGGAAGGGGGCAGCGGGAGGAGGAGGAAGGAGACGCGGGGCGCTGTCTTTGCAAGACGGAGGCCCAGCACCACAGGATGGTTGGGAAAACACGCTGCGGACGGTTTTTGGCCGTTTCTGGCCTCTGGGGGCCCACGCTGTGCCCCAGGACTGTCAAACACCGGCTCGGGATGAAAAACCCTTGGGTCGGGACTTCCCACGGACCCCGTGTTGAAGACGTGAAGACGTCGGATGTCTGGGATAGGGGGGACTGGCAGCGGGGGGGGAGCACTGGCTCGGAATCAACGCTTCATCACCGACATATCGGCGGTAGGCCCCCGATAACGAAGCCGCGCGCGTTCTTAGGCGGGGTGGGGCTATCGGGCGCCCACAGGCGAGTAATGGGAGACATGGGGGTCGACGCCTTCCCCCCGCGAGCCAATCGCAGCGGGGACGTCTGATCCAGGGCGCCAGCTCCCCCCAATTCTATTGGGATCCGCCCCGCTGGATGGGCATGCCCGTGAGCCTCGCTGAGGCCTCGCGAATGGGATCGGTCCCTCCTCCCCCTGTGGTCGTGTCCCTGTGGGCGTGGCGTGGTGGAGGGTGCCGGTGCCCCACCCCTCCCCCCGTGGGTGCGGGGTGGTTCGTCGTCGTCGTCGTCGTCGTCGTCGTCGTCGTCGTCGTCGTCGTCGTCGTCGTCGTCGTCGCTGGCGTCGGCGTCGGCGTCGTCGTCGTCGTCGTCGTCGTCGGCGTCGGCGTCGTCGTCGTCGGCGTCGGCGTCGGCGTCGGCGTCGGCGTCGGCGTCGTCGTCGTCGGCGTCGTCTTCCGTCGGCGTCGGCTTCCATCTCGGGGCGGGGGGCCTGTGGAGCCCTTGGACCCATCCTATCTGGGGGCGGCGGGGGCTGTGAAACCTCGACCTAGGACCATACATCTATAGCCATCGCCTGGGGAACCGACGTCCTGGAACCCCAGCGGGCGATGGATGTGGATATGGATATATTTAGGCCCCAGGGGGCACGAGCACATCCATATCCACTACCTGCCAAGGTCCCCGACGATCGATGCCCCAGGCGATGGTTATGGGCAAATCCACGCCTCGGGAGACAGTCCTGCCTGTCGTTGCCCCCGCTCCTGGATGGGCTCCAGGACCGAGTCCAGGGGCCCTCTGCAGACCCTTAGGCCGGAGAGCACCAGCCTCACGGGCACGTCCGCGGCGTACTTCTCGAGGCCCCCGAACTCGAGCCACGTCCTCCTGGCAAGCACGCGCACCCCCTGGCTCGGGGGAAGGTCGAACGCCATCCGCCGCAGGCGCACGCGCGAACTGGAGGCGCGGCTCACGGCGGCAGCCTTCGGAGAGCAAAACGAAAACCAACGCCACGCCGGTCGCACGACCCTGGCGGCGCGTTGCTGCTTTGAGGATCAACCGGGCGTTCGAGCCAGCAGCGACGGAATGACACGCGGAGCTTGAGAGTCGACCTTGGAATCCCCCCCGGAGCCTGCACCTCGTCGTAGACCCAGCTGTCGAAGTGGCCCGCGGACCTCGCGGGGACCAGCTCAAGCATGCCGACGCAACTGTCCGGAAAGAAGACCCAACGAAATAAACATCAACTTTTGACGCTCTGCGCGGACTTCTTGGACCTGCGCTGGACCCCCCCCCCCTGGCGCGCGGAGCGCGCCGGGGGCGGCGCCGGAGGCGCCGCTAGGGGGGGGGGAAACCCAGGCGCGGATCCAAGGAACCCGCGCGGAGCGCCAAAAGTTTATGTTTCTAGGGCGCTTTTTTCCCTCCCCGGCGTCCAGCAGCCCCGCGCAGCCGAAGGCTTCAGAGCAGCCGACCACGTCCTGACTACCTACCAGACCACCCCAACCCAACCCGAAGATCCGAATTTCGGGTCGGGGGGAATGTATACGGCTTGAATTCGGCTTCCATACGTGTTTGTTCAATGTTTCCCAACCGCCCCCCCACTGGAAATGGAGGGAAAAATGGGGCCCTCGGGTTGTGTTGGAGCGGTTTGGAGGGAGTTTCATCTTGAAGGGAGTGGGGGAGGAGGAGGAGGAGGAGGAGGAGGAGGAGGAGGAGGAGGAGGAGGAGGAGGAGGAGGAGGAGGGGCAGGAGGAGCAGGAGGAGCAGTAGAAAGGAGGAGGAGGAGGAGGAGGAGGAGGAGGAGGAGGAGGGCAAACTGTGGCTCGGTGGGTGGTGACGTCCAGCGTGGGGGTGCCCGCGTCGAACACGATCTCGCAGGGCGCGCCGCTGCGCGCCCGGGAGGCCCGGGCCCGCTCGGCGGCGCCCGGCGCCGCCCCCTCGGGGAGGCGCGGGGCGCCCTCGGCGGCCGAGGCCGGGGGCCCGGAGAGCCCGCCCGCGACCTCCTGGGAGGGGAGACGTGTGCAGTCACCGGCCTGACCCATCCTCCTCCTCCTCCTCCTCCTCCTCCTCCTCCTCCTCCTCCTCCTCCTCCTCCTCCTCCTTCCTCCTCCTCCTCCTCCTCCTCCTCCTCCTACTCCTACTCCTACTCCTACTCCTCCTCCTCCTACTCGGCCTGACCCAGGGAGCGATGAATCAGGAATCGAAGCCCACTCTTCCCGAGGGATCACGCGTGAGGAGCGACGAATGCAGTCGGACTTGATCGGAGAGGGCGCGCGAGGGGACACGGGACCCTTCCGGGGGCCACGCTGCCACAGCGGTGCAGGAGGCACGGGTCGCAAGACACAAGACACGAGGGTACCCTTGATCTGGCAGGGTCGACCTGCTAGTCTGGGCCACCTGCAATGCATGACGCACGAGGAACGAGAAATGACGCATGCAAGCCCAAGGAACGACCGAGCCCCTTTGGAAACGTAGGCACTCCTTACGCAAGCCGCTCACTGCACCCTCAGAGCCGGGCGCTGCCGCCTCTTCACGCCGGGCGCTGTCGCCCAAGCTCGGGCCTTGGGGGGGGGGCCCTCACGGATGGATGCGGCTCGACATAAGGCGCAGAGAGGTTGGGCCCGGGTCTCCGGTCGTGGTGTTCTGCGACGCTGCATCTCTTGCAACGTCGGATCTGGGAGAGCCCGCACGCGACCTCCTTGCGGGGAGACGCAGAGAGAAAACGCCGCGAGCAAAAACTCTTGGCGCTCCGCGCGGATTTCCTGGATCTGCGCCGGACCCCCCTCCCTGGCGCGCGGAGCGCCCTCCAGCGCCGCCGGGGGGGCCCAGCGCAGATCCCAGAGATCCGCGCGAAGCGCCAAAAGTTTATGCTTATGGCGTTTGTCTTCTTCGAATAAGTGAAGGGGCCCAGGAACACACAAACAAATACACATGCGTCCCAGGATCCCCCGCATGTTCCTATATTTTCTGGGTTGTCGTCCCTCCTCCCCCCACCACACTTCCCATATGTTGCTAGGATTTCTCGGGAATCGACGATTAACTGTGTCTGCGTTTTTCCCAAGGACGTCTTCGCCAGCGCAATGACCCTGCCTGGCCGCCGACGCAAAAACTCGTTCCCAGGACTCGGGCTCCTCGGACTCGGGTTGGCCTGACGGGGGCCACCATAGAAATGACGGGACCCCGTCTGAAACTTGGCGCGAACTCCCGCTGCAAACATCATTCGGCGGTGGACAAACCTCCCTTTAGTAGACCTCCCCTTAGTGAAAACGGCCTGGGACCGAAACCGACGGACTTGGACCCGCAAAAATGACGGCCGCGACACCCTCTCGCGAACCGAAAACGGCCAATTCCTTAATCGACGGGTCAGGGTAGGAGGTCTGTCCACCTCCGAATCATCCCGCGAACAAAAAAAGGGACCGTAAAGCAGTCCACAGGGCGCGCTCGTCCAACAAAAGGCGCCGCCACGCCCGAGCTCCGTCCTACTACTCGAGCCTTGTGCCAGGTCGGGCATGATCTCCTACAGGCGGATTTGGGACGAAAACTTACAAAATCAGCCCGGCGCAGGACCCAACCAAACTTAAAACATGAACCACTTGTGAATACCGTCGTTGTTAGTATCGCCTTCGGTGGATCTCCGTATGGGGCCACGAAGCGCGTGAAAAGTGCCGAAATGGGGCGGGGCCGCCATGCGGGCGCTGCTAGTGGGGCGCTGCTACTGGGGCCTGATGCGGGCGCTGCCATTGGGGCGCGGCTACTGGGGCCACAAAACGTGTGAGGTATGTGCCGGAATGGGGCGGGAACGCCATGCGGGCGCTGCCACTGGGGCCTTCGGTGAAGTTCCCTATGGGGCCACGAAGCGTGCGAGGGGCGTGCGGCGATCATGGCGTTGATAATAATAACGATGCGCAGAAACGAAGCAGGGATGCGAGGACGGAGGATGAGGATAAAGAGGAAGAGTAAGAGGAAGAGGTGGTGGAGAAAGAGGAGGAGGAGGAAACGGAGGAGGGGGAGCTGCGACTATGGCGATGCAGGTGAGATAAAGGAGGGGGCCAGCAAAAGGACAAATACCTAGGAAAAAAATGGGCATAACATGGCGGCGCGCGGGGCTTGGCTACATTCGGCGTGGCAAGCAGGCGCGCTACGCAAAACAACGTGAAAACAACTGCGTGGGAAAAAAAACAGCAGGGCAGGAAATGGACACGGAGCGGCCGCGCACTGGGCGGGAAGAGGAGGAAAAAATGGCGGCGCACGGGACTCGGCCACATTCGGCGCGGCAAACAAGCACGCTGCGCAAAACAATCTGGAATCATCGCCGTCGTCTGGAACGCTCATGGCTTGGAAAACCAGGCGGGTCGCGGCCGTCGTCGAGTCCATGGACTTGTACGAGTGCGTCATCACCTTCCTGCGCTTCTCCCTATGGAAGCGAGGCACTGGCGTTGGCGCAGCAGTCGGAGCTGGCCCTGGCGCGGCATCACCCCCTGCGGAAGACCGAGCAACTGCGTGTCCGTCGGCGGCATCGGCATCCCCGCTGGCAGGCGCCCCAACACCAGGTACCGCAGCCTCGGCAGCATCAGGATAATCGTGCGACTCAACCACGATGGGCAACATCGTGTCGCCGAACATGGGCGAGTTCGAAGTTTCCGCAGGCGCAGGGGCATTGACCTGAAGCTGGGTCGCGACGTCGTCTTGCCACAAAACAGGGAGGCTGTCTGGCTGCGTCGACATCGGCGCAAACTCTGGCACGCGCTCAGCAGACCAAAAAAAAATGCAAGATAGCGAAATGCGAAGAGCCGTAATCAAGGTTGAGCCAAAATTGTTACGGACACCCAGATGAAGCGTAGTTGGTTGGCAACGAACTGAGGAATTGGGCCGCAGGGTGGCACGAAGAGATTCCATAAGATTGCTGACAGGGCCCGTAAACCATGAACCCCACACCGCGACAAATAATGCAACTGTGGCAGCGAAAACTGGCGACACACGTCACAAGTAAGAAGGCCCGAGCGAGCAGGACAAATAGACACCGAATCACGCATATGAGCCAACGGAACTGACAAACATTAATCGCAAAATCCTCGGCCCTCACGGGCGCAAGCGGCGCGCGGTTCAAGGCTGCCCCTGCCATGCCAACCTTGCCGCCGCTCCTGAATGCGTTTCCTAATTAAAAAGCGTTGTTGGGCACTCAAGGAGTGAATCCAAAGTTTGGCTTTATCCCCCCGGACTTGGCGGGCGGGGGGGTGGCAAATCTTTCTGCTGAGCCCCGCCGAGCCCCCGCTGCAAAGCTCAAATATCTTCGGGGACGTAGCACCAGGACTCAAAATTGCAAGTGGCATAAGAGCGCATTCTCGGGGCCGCTTGAATTAAAATGAGGGCGTGCGGTTGCAGACGAAAAGCCAAGCCACACAATAAAATGCGAAACGAACGATGCCGCAAACCTCGGCGCTGAACGGCGCAAGCAAAGCAAAACCAAGGGAAACGCGCGCGCAACGCGCGACGTAAACGCGCGAACCAGACGAGCCTGGAACAGGCAGCACGGAACACTTGGCAACTCCTCTGCGCGAGCGTTTCGCAATATACAACACGCCAGCAAAACCGCTCCGATGTTCCGAAGGCAACGAGAAGTAAAAGCGCAGAGCTACATCAGAGGCTAAATCACTCTGGAACAAAATTCCGCCGCCCTGGGTAAACTTGGAAACCAACGCTGGCTTCGCGACGAAAGCCGATTCTTCGCCCATAAGATCGCTACGACGACGCGCGAAAGCGAAACTTTGACATCGACGCGCGTTTAAACAACGTTATATTCTATATATACATATATATATATATATAACCATCTGAGAAAAAAGGCAGGAGCGATTTCATAGCGTTTGGAATTTCCAGGGCTGTAGGGGGCCGCCCCGCCACAAGCCTCGTTGCTCTTCATCGGGGCGTCGGCGCTCCAGCGCCCTCGACGCTGATCTCCAGCGGGGTCCCCCGATCGCCCCTCCTGTCCTCGGACGGCCCGCCGTGCCTCATCTGGCGCAGGACGCGCAGCTTCCCCATGCCGAGGTGGAGCTAGGCCGCCCGCAAGAGCGCGGCAAACCAGATCATCACGAAGGGGGGGGTCTGCTGGCTGGTCGCAAGCCTGACGGCCGACAGCAACACTTCGCCGACGAAGGGCCTCCTCGGATGGTCGATCAGCAGGCTCTCGTTCGTCGCCATGGTCTTCGAGGTCTGGCCCCTCTCCTCTGGGTGGAGATTGAGCGCGACGAAGGTCGAGGCGGAGGCTAGCGGGGCCACCGCGTCCGACGCCTGAAGGCTCAGCCCCTCAGAGGGCCTCTGGTAGCACGCGAAGCAGAGCACCGCCAGCAACGCCGCCAACGGTTCGCCCCAGCCGACTATCACCTGCGCCACCGCGACCGCCACGAGCCATGGCATCGGCGGCCGTGCGACCGCCGGCTCCAGGCGCGACCAGTCCTAGAGGGCCCGGCAGGCGCGGGGGAGAGATGCCCCCCCTCTGCCCGCCGATGGGCATGTCGCCTGCCAGGCCGCGTAGAGAACCTGCCCCGCGGAACGGTCGTCGCCGCAGGTGAACATCTCTTGCGCCAGCTCGGACGTCGCGACGTCGGCCGACTCCAGCGAGTTCACCTGCAAGCCCCGGTGGAGGCACAACGTGCTCAACCTGCGCAGGGCCCCCAGGTACCTCGGCCACGATGCTGGTCTGGCGGCCCCGAGCGCAAGCGCGGAGGCCACGCCCAACCCGAAGAGGAGTGCGACCTCGCGGATGTCGGCCACGAGCGCCGGCGACAAGGGCAGCGACCTGGTCGGCTTGACATGGCCCTTGGACGAAGCAGGGCGCCTCCGGACCGCGCAGGAGCGCGTCCGTGCCCTCCCAGAGACGCGAGCCACCATCTGCGGCGTTCAGCTCGGACGGGTGCCATCGGCGGTGCGCCCGCACATCGGCGGCGAGGGCGAGCGCGAGCAGGCGCCGGCATATCCTCAACAATCCTGGAGCGGAAGACCTGCC